TCACAACGAAGATCGCAGTGCAAACGAGCTTAAGGGATGAAGTGGGACCGCGGGACATCCGACGGCACACAGATCCTTTGGAGCGAGAACGCTATGGCGTTTCAACGAATTCAAAAATTTCCGCGGGAAGTCTTCGACGGATTACAGCCGCCACCGTCCGCGCGCCGGTTTTCAATACCTTTGTGCGCGTCGCGGCGAAGAATGGAGCGTCGCGAACCGACGAAAGCGAAAGGGCGTGCGGAATGGAGAAGAACGAAGGCACGCGTTCGCGTTTCAAAGGGGAAAAGGAAGTGCTCGGTGTATTTTTGACGTCTGCTTCTCATATGGAAGTGCTTTCGGTGCTGTCGGCGCCGTAAAAAACCTAGTCGTTGCAATGAAGCGGCCGCTGCGCGCTTACATCGCCCGCTTGTATCGTGATTATTCCCTTCCACTCTCTACTTTCTATTCGTGTTCGGCTCGATGTACAGAAATTACGCGTCTTTTTTTTCGAATACCAAATATTATATTCTATTCGTGTTATTATTAATGTTATATTGTTATTGTTCCTTTTTTGTTGCGCTATCGGGTTGTTATTATTGGTTTTTGACGCGTGCAGATATTACATCGCTCGATATCTGCGAATAGTAAAAGTAGATACAATTTATGAAAATTGTACGACATAATAAATATCTACAATTCTGTGGTTTGCTATTAAAGTCGGATTGAGAATGGAATTGTGTTTATCGGCACTTGAAATTGAATGTTAAGAAAGGTTTAAATATTCGAGAAACGAGATGAATAATTTGTCTAGTATGAAATTTCATCGATTGTAAGAATATTATTAACCACCGTACTTAATGCAATGCACTTTTTTATTAGAGGAAATCGTCAACTATGTAAATTAATTGAATATATACTTGTAACTCTCATCTACGTTAATTTTTTAAGTACATTAATCATAAGTAAAACAATAAATATTTTGCACGTAGGAACGATATTTTGTTGTAGAAACGATTCACGTATAGATCTAGTAGAATGCCAGCTTCTTCGTTCAAGCTAACACGCTAGTAGCTTGCGCTGCAATGAAGAAATATGCATATGCTCTATCCAGTATGCATCCGTGTACCGTGCTCGCCGCTTTAATCCGCTTCTCTCTCTCTCTCTCTCTTGCTTGCATCCTACGTGCGTGCCTCTAATTAGTTTCGTATTTCGGAGCGCACCGAATACGTATAAAGCGTTGTCGTTTCTCGGTTCTCGTTACCGCTTGTTTTCGAACTTTGACAATTTACCGCGCGGGTAACTTCATCCCCCTTTAGTCGGCCGCGTACATGCACGGCAATCTCGATAGACTCGCGGAATCTTTGCGCTGACTCTGAAAAGTCGCCGGCAGTCTATCAAATCGCGACCTAATTGTCCCGCCGCGCCGGGAGTATCAGGTTTCTGCTCATTAGCGACGTAAGCGGTGGTTCTTAACCCAGATCAACGATATGCGGAATTATAGTTCCAGCGTGAGTGGATCCGCCGGAATTGATGGTAATTGGTCCTGGAAACTACGATCCGTTACAATTGACGTAACATTCTCGCACGCTTGTTGTCGAACTACCTATAACTCAATAAAGGGAACCTACAAAATGTGATCCGACTAGACACTGTCGATTATGATTAAAAGGATTTAAATAATTCGATTTTGAGTTAGTTCCCGTGATCGTTAAAGCTGACGTACCTGTGAAATTATCACGGTAATAGTGAGCTGCGATTAAGAATTGAGAAATTTGTAACCGAGTCGATAGATATATTTCAATCATCATTTCAAGGTTTTAGATTTTTAATTATTTTACTCTTTAAATAAAAACGTTCAGCCATAAACCATTATTTTAGTTGTAAATTACTTACAATATTACACAAATTCATATTATACGATATTCTACTGTATCAGATCACTATTCAATATTGAACCTTCCCAAACCGCAACATTCATCGACAATAGTCACACAGAACCCCTCGAATCACGTCGATTGACTTCGAGATTGCTGAAATTCAGTTTCCCCAGTTTCCCCGGACGGATCATGTAAAACTTCACCCTAAAGTTTCACCCACGGAAATTTCCGCGATGTGTGCTTCTCGGTGAATACTCCGTAGACGTTCCGAGACAAGATTCCATTAACAATACAAGGATATATTTCCAGACAGGCATACGCGGAAGCGTCTATACCTTTCAACTTTTAAATTAGTTCCGCAACTCGCGCGTGAAACAGGCGCGGCGAGTACGGAGTCGCCTCTAACTATAGACGAGAGAAGGCTCCCGGGTGCGAATAACTCGATACAAGAAATAAATATTAGGTCGTCCCATAAGTTCGTGCCACGATGTGTTTATACTTCTTGAATGGCGTTTTGTAATTACAGAGCGTTACGAAGACTTGGATGACTAAACCTTTATGCCTCAGTTTACTCGGTAGAAGGTATTCGAAAGCGACAGGCCGTGAAATTATAAGAATTTTATATTCAACACTAGAACTGTCGAGCAGTCGAATTTACTTCATTTAATTTTCTCGTAGAAACTCTACGAATGCATCTATTGAAATCTTGAATCATTTGTAATTCAGTCTGTGCATTACTTAATCAATTCTCTTAGTAACTTCCCAGAGAAGCATTGATTACCTTTTCAATAATTTTAAAAAAGGAAATCAAGAATCGGTCATTTTGTTCTATCCAGTAGGTTGTTGGATGATTAATCTACGTTATCTGCAACGCGCTGCGTTGCCCTAATGATTTACTGTTCTCGGGCATCCTCTGTAGAGCTACCCCCGAACCTTAAATCACGACGATCAGGGCACATCTCTAAGGCTTGGTCATTCTTGCCCTTTCTCTTGCATATTTCAGTATATGAGTATCCGAATCGCAAGGAACCTCAGATTTCAGTATTCGAAGTCTAAACTTATTGCTAAAACTCTGTCAAACTCGCTACTTCGCAAGCTTTTATATTAACGTCGTTTTCGTTAGTGATAATATATTGTATTTACCCGTGTGACTTCAGCGTTATGTATACATACATACTGAAATATGTATTGAAATCATTAAATATTTAAATTGAAATATAAATTGAAATACATACTTGAAGTATATATATATATAAGGTCTACTAATAATAAAATATTCTTTTATACATACGAAAGAAAAATAAACAGCACGAACTTATGGATCAACCTAATGACAGGAGTTTTCTCGTATTTCTTTTCGCTTGAGGAAATGATTCAAGTATCCGCGAGAATACATGGTGGCGTCTGTCTCGTCAGTGCGAATGAAAACGACGAGAACGACGCGCGAGACGCATTATCGAGCTTCGCAGCACGCACTCGCCGCCATTGGTTTTCCAAGTCCCAGCCGCGAAAGGGTTTCCGGCTCTCGATGGGTCGAGGAACGAACGAAAAACGTATTGGCTCGCGACACTCCAGTGACACCGCGCATCCGAGTTTTCGCGGAACACTTTCTCGTCCCGTGAATTCCAGCCGAAGAACCGGGATGCATCCGGCGAAATTGGTTTTCCTGCTCGGCGTCGTGACATTAAAATGTACAATTTACTCTCTCTCCCTCAGAAGGCGGACTCTCAGCTGCGCCCCGGCGCGAAACGAGCTCGGCGAAGACGCGGCGATACTTTCATCCCCCGAGAGCCGGAAGCGTTATTTAAATATTTGCGGACGCGTCGGGCGCCAGAAATCTCTACCGCCGACTGGAAACGCTATTTATGGAAATTATCGTGAACGAGACTGCGTATCCTCGGCTCGAGCCTTCTAACCGCATTTTCAGTATTATTGTCCGTGAATACGTGCTTCGGGACGTGTACTTCTGTACGTTAGAAGAAATTGAGATTCATTTAATGGGTTGCTTTGGTTTTTTAATGAGCATAGAATGAGCATGTTCGTGAAATCTAATGGAGAGATATTATGTAAGTTTAGATTTGCATATTATTTTCAGAACACTGTGTGAAGATTGTATACTGTTTATAGATTAAATTTGGAATTGTTAACGTAAGTTTTCGCTTAGTGAAACAATGGTGTGATATTTGATATAATAATTTAATGAGAGCAATTCTACTTTGCAATGTAATCAGGTTGAAATTCTAATGTATTTTCGATAGATGTTACTTACTGTTCCGGGAGAAGCACAGAGGTGAAGTTAATTGCGATGGACATTTGCGAGTTGGAAGTAATTAAGTACAGACATCGGATGCTGGGAGGATATAGGCCAGGATATCCGGGGCTGGCTAGCACGCATCCGCTGTGGCACTCGGTGTCTTCGTACACCCAGTCGCATTCTAGAAATACAGGAAAGGATATATGTTAATGTCACCATATAAAAACACGTTCTGACATTTATTTCTGAAAGGTTAAGTATGGCTTATGTTGTGTACTTATAAGTGTAGTATAATATTCACTGTTTCTTTGAAACATAAGCATATATCGCGATCACTTGATGCCACAAACATTATTAATTATAAATGTATTGTTAATCTTTGTGTATTGTTCGAATTAATTTAATGCAATAGCAAACTTCCATTTTCAATTACATTTTCGTTGTGAATACACTTGATCTGCTACGATCCATTTCTAAATTTTACATTCATGCAACATTTTTCCGAATCAATAAGCTTTTACCCCTGATTGATCGTCAACTCTCGTTTTACTTAATTCACAGAATGTAAATGTAATAATACTTGAACAGTGTTCAAGAGTTAAATGGAAGTTTCTTGTTCACCGTAACGAATACCATTTCCCTCAAAATTGCTCGTTTCATTTTTAGATCATACCTTCAGATTAGACTTTCCGTTATTAGTGGTACAGTACAGAATAACGTGATTCCATGGAACGAGATCACGTCGAAATGTTAGAACATTCACTCAGAACTCTTTATTTAGATACTCATATAATACGTATTACCACGATTACCTCTTCAATGCCATTATAACTCTATAAAAACAATAATTTTCACAACAAAACTTATCTCCTTTCCGATCACATCAAATACAAACTTCGCCGTCCATATTCTCAATGTTCAACGCTTCGCGACCCAGAATCTTTTAAATCACAAAGAAACCTCTTTTACAAAATGCTAAGTCACACATCAAATCCTCTAACACCAGACAACAAGAAAATCAATTAAACAATCTTCTCTTGTTCGAATAATCAAACGTCGTGCACCCAAATTTCGATTTCAAATGCCGGCGTTCAATGCCGCCGATACAACATTCGTCTTTGAAGATCTGATGCGGCTGCAATCAGGTGCACGGAACTAATTCCGAAAAAAAAGGAACGGAATCGGGACGAGACAGAAATAGAAACCGAGATAAAGACGTACGTGCCGTGTAGGGTCAGATACATCCAATTAAAATTCGGGGTACGCAGAGAGTAACGCGGCCGCGCGTCTGCTGTAAATTTCCCGGCATGCCGATATCAGTTCGCGATTTAATCGGACGGGAGTACCGCGCGGCGTGCAGACATTACAGGAAAGTTATGGAGCGGGCGGCAGTTTGGCGTCCATCGATAGGTAAAGTGCACCACGATGATCGGGGGAAAAAAAGAGGGGGTAAAGGGACCGAAAGAACCGGGGAAAAGAGCGACGGTGAACTGCGAGCGGTGGTGGAACGTGAATCACGGCTTTATCGGCTGGTACCCGGGACTGTTGCGTTCGCCGGCGAACGATCTGGCATAACGGCAAGCAAATTTAAGGGGAGTCCTCGAGGAAGGTGGGACAACACGGCGCGTGGTCGATGAGAAACAGCGTCGTGCACCGGTAAAACAAATATTTTTCCAGCCGGCAACGCGATATTTACGAATCGGGGTCCTCTTGTATTTTTTGCTGAATGCCGCTGCCCACCTAGGGCATGCAAATGCCAGCGACCCGGTATATAAATCAATTTCCGAGCAGAAAGAACCTAGAAACACTCAACGCAAAAAAGTAGTTTTCTTCTTCTCTTTCTCCCGCCTTTTTATTCTCCGTTTAGATCTTCTTCCTTTTATTTCTATAGTTCTTTTCAAACATTTCTTTCTGTCAGTAACTTTGAAAGTCATAATGGAATATCGATTATTCTATTTAATTGGACAACTAACAGTCGAGATACATGAAGATTCGAGAGGAAATTGTGCAAAGCGTATTTGATAAGTTTGATTGTATATATTCTGAGGTATGATCTGAGAATTCGAATTATTGAGTTTATGGATAGACTAAACTAAGACTGAACGATCTAGATCTCCAAAAGTACTAAATCGGTTAATACGTTGGCTGCTATGACGGTCAGCGATTACCGGAACTTCCAGATTAAGTAGAAATAATTATAAGAAGAAAACTGATATTGAATCAAAATATGTAGCAACATAAGTAACTAAATTATAGTGTAACTTGAGAACTGCGATACCAAATAATTAATAATTTAATCGAATACTATTCGTTTTTAGCATGAATAAGTAATATTATACGAAACGCTAAAAATTCTCGTGGCGGTCAACGTGTTAATCTCTTGCACTGAAATGACGTGCTACGCATATTGAGATGTTTTTGTTCCAAAACTGTCAATGATGTCTTATACACATCGATAGTCTCGTTGCATTCTACATACTAGATTGTTTTGAAATGTATCACTATATAAAAAGTCATTAATAAATAAAATTAGATAAAATTCTTCGGGCAGGACTCTGCTAAATCTGAGAATTCATTTCCAGCGTAAGAGGTCAATCCAGGTCTTGCTGTATTGATGTACGATATCGACGTCGGTTGAACTGCTCGATATTTCGTCAAATCATTCCGAATCATGAAACGAATGCTTAACGGTTCGTAATTGTGTGCTTCAGACTCAATAGCCCGACTCCGCGCGATCGTCGAGTTCAATTGTAGCTTTTATGTGGAGACATTCTGTCCGGTCCACCGGACGCGCGTTCTGTCCTCGGGTCCTTTTCTTCGCGCCCCGAAAAATTGAGGCATATTGTTGTTACCTTCTGTGTCTGGCTCGCTGTCTCTTTCCGCGTATTTTTCTGTTTAGTTTTATATATCCGCCGGATGCAATTGTCATAATGGTTAGACCCATTAGGGATGGGACGCGCCCATCCTACCAGCTCAACGAATTTATGTAATGTCTTCAGCGTCCTCGGAAACACTTTTTCCCGTATTTTTTCGGGCTCGGCCTTTCGTTCTTTTTCCGTATAATTGTTTCTGTCCGAAACTTATTAGTTATACTGTTCTTTTACTTGTTGAAGAATTCTTTTCGAATGATAGAAGTATAATAATGATAGATGTGTAATAATGATAATTTGTTTTATTTATTTTCTTCACAGTAATTTATAATTTTTTTCGAGAGAATGTATGACAAATTATTATAAGGATTTGGAATAATAACTTATAGGTATATCCTCCAACAACGAATGAAGTATATATAATTTCAATGGTTTGTCAATGATTTTCTACTAGAATTAATATTATTTCTCATTCTATGGTGATATATGAACAACCTTATATAATTTTAGAATTTATATCCTTTTGATATAAGCTTCAAATCGTTTTATTTGTGACAGCAAATACACTTTATCGCTGAAAATATTATGAATGGTTGCCTTGAATGATTTGTTTTTGTAGTTCTTAACTTTTTTTATGGGGAGTATTATCCCTGAATGGAAAGCAAGAAAGGTCTGGAAATGAAATGTGACAAATGTCACGATGTGACAGCCTCTTAGAGCAGTGAGAGAGGGCATTTATGTGGCGGGTTGTCGAAGAAACGCGTATCGCGAGAGAAATATATTCTCGACTGCTTCCGGAAGGAGTTGCGTGAATCTGATAGGTGCGGAATACCTTCGGAATGAAGTTATAGAGCCTATAAAAAAGGTAATAAACCATATACCTTCTTATATATCTTCCAGTATACATAAAAGCAATAACACACACAAACAATCATTTTCTTTATGACATATCCCCATTTTAGAATTAATCTTTCAATGTTTATTTAAAAGTAATCAATAAATACATAAGTATTATGAAACATTTGCAAAATAAATTTGGTAATTACAAGTGTTTCATAAAATTGTATTATTATATTTAATAATAATATTAATATTTTCCTATATTTTCCTCAAAGTAATAACTAATATATAGATATTATAAACGTTTTGTAAAGCAAAATTCAATTGAATTTCGTACAATTGTATTATTATATATAATAATAACACTATTATTAGTACTATTATTAACATTGTTTATCTTATTATTATTTATAGTATTTAATAATAGCATTCTCGTTTCACTTTTTTTCTCGAAATCGCCTCGGCCACTGAAGCCAGAAATTTCTGGTTCGTGATAAATGCCACGGTTCGTGCAATTGCTTAGTATCGCATTCAAATGTAGACGTACGTCTGAAGCCACTGGAACAAATCGCTAGGTAAGAGGATCGCATACGTAAAACCTTAGGCGATTGATCTGTTTGTCAATCGTTCCACGGTTCGTTTTTCTCGAAATCTCGGGTTCCCCTCCGTTTCCATTGAATATCTTACTCGGCCTGGACCAGCTGTTTCCCTAAAAACAGTCTGATTTACCCAAATGATCCTTCGCCGGGTTGGTATACGTCGATGACTGACTTATACTACTTTCGCGCGTCAACCGTCGCAGGAACGTCTGAAATATTACTCGCCGCATCACCGAATTCAACCAATCTCCCGAGGACAGACCTCTCTGTACGATTTCCATAGAAATTCTCTTTTTCTATCTCCGTGCCTTATTTCCTCGACCTTGCAGCCAGAAGTGGATGAAGAAGAAAACGAAAACAAGGCAACGTTCACTGGAGAACTATTTACATGAAAACACAAAGTTGCATAAAATTCTGAGAAAATATTTCAAATTCTACATGCAACAGATATACTGACATTTTCAATTAGAACAGGAAATTCCTGTGAAAATATAACACTTCAGATTATCAAAATTGGAAGACTACTTTCTCAGATACACGAAGCTCAGAATAATTCCTTGTATCCTCAAGATCCTTCGAACAACTTCTACTAACAATGTCGAGAATATACAACAAACCGTGACAGAAGACTTCCAACCGAAAACATCGTTATTTAAATACCGCTCACAATGCATCGAGACGTATCCCTTCAGCGCCAACCACGGCAAGAGAAACGGATTCGCACGTATAGAAGTGAAACCGTGGGATTGATGTGTTTGCCGACCGCGCGACACTTCCGTTCGTTTCTCTTTCATTTTCGGCTCCTTTTCGGCTCGTCGCCTCTTCCTCCGGTTCCCGCAACTTCAATAAAAGGATCCGGCTCTTCCTCTTGC